TGGGACTACAGGCACCTGCCACAACGCCCGGCTATTTTTTGGTTGCAGTCGTCATTGTTGTTTGGCGAGCCCAGGCTGGATTCGAACCCGCCAGCTCAGGTGTATGTGGCTGGCGCCTTAGCCACGTGAGCCACAGGCATCTAGCCTGAACTTGAAATATTGATAATTGTTCTAAAAAAAAAAATAATTTGAAATGATTAGTATATCTGCAAGAAATTATCAGAGCCAGAAACTTCAACATCGGATTTCTCTTTTTAGAACTATTAATTAACACTGTTCCCAGATCTCTGCTAGACTCCCAAGCTGAAAGGCAGAAAGTAAATACCGTGCGGCAGGGGAAACTGGCTCATTTCCACGAAACTGTGAGAAGCTGGAGCTTTTGTCAAACAGAAAATACTTGCTAGAGAACTATTCCTAAAGCATGAGCAACTATACTAAAGCTTTTTACTTAAGGGCAGCCTCCTGGGAGACCGCGCTGGAATGTGCAGCAGTTCTGAAAAAGGCACAGATCTGGCTCCACTGTAAATATGAGGTGCGCAGAGGCGAAGCCATTGTGTAGGGTAGGAGGTGTGGCGGGTGGGGTCCTGATCTCCAATGTTGATAGCAGGATTCTAATTTCGTTTGGTATTTATTTTTTTCTACTACAATTACAGTTTTGCAAGGAAAAATAAAATATCGGTTGTCCTCTCCTCTGGATTTCTAATTCCCAACATCCACAGAAAAAAAAACCACCTTTCCTTTCCCCAAAGGATCGCCTTTCTGAAATCTCCAGAGCAGCAGGAAAACCAGCGGTGAGCCCCACCCCCGCCCCGCCACCTGCCGGGAACCCGGCCGGCCCACCCCGCCCTCCTGCGGCGGCTGGGGCTGGCCCTGCGCGCCCGCGGCACAGTGGTGTGTGGTGGCAATTCTGGGTGGGGATGCTCCAACCAGCAAACCACAGCGCACAGCCCTAGCTTGGACTTTGAACCAAGCCCTTTTGCCCAGTTCTCTTTTTCCGGGATCCTCGCCACCCCGACTCCCGCTTCCCTCCAGCCCCCGGGACCCCTCCGGCCACCTGCGCGCCTACGGGATCGAAGCGCTTTGGGGAGGAGGATTCAAGGTCTCGTCCACCCGCCACCCCGGGGAGGCGGGAACTACAACTCCCATCACGCCCCGCGCCGGCTCCCCTCCCCGCAGCCCGCGGCGGGCGGCGCTGGGCTTTTATCCGCGGCCCCGGCGGGAGGGAGCCACAGCCCTCGGTCTCCCCGACGGCATCGCCGCGCCTACAGCTCCGAGCCGGGTCACCCTCTGCGTCCGCGCCAGCCCGCAACCCGGGGGCGAAGGGCAGGTTCCCGGCGCATCGCGAGGATGGTCATCCGCGTGTTCATCGCCTCTTCCTCGGGCTTCGTGGCGGTGAGCGCCGGGGCCGGCGGCGGGCTGGGGGCGCCGGGTGCGGGCGCGGGTCCTGCGGGAGGCGCGCGGCGCTCGTCCCTGCGCGTCCTGGCGCGCTGTGCGTCCGTCCGCTGGAGCCGGCGGCCGGCAGGTGACCCGCCACGCCGGACAACAATGGAAAGGGCGGGGAGGAAGGTGGGACCCCGCGCTCACACGCCCACCCGAGCGGCCGGAGCGCGGCGGATAATGGAGTCCGAGGGGAGTCCTAGCGCCTGTGCCGCGGCTCGGAGGTGGGACGGAGTTGTGTAAGAGCTTCGGGTCCCTCCATTTAGTTCACTTGTCCCCGATTTGGGACCTTCAGTCTGGTTATGTTTTTGTTGGGAGCTTTTGGTTTGCTGAACTAGTTACTGAATGAAATAAGTTTAAGGGCTTGGCTCTCCACCCACCCCGTCACCAAGCCCATTTCTCTAGTTTTCTACCTGCTCAGAGAGAATGGTGAACCAGGTTTGTCCTGTGGTGCAGGGTTGCAGTTCTCATTGTCATTTGTCCCCCTAGGGTGCCATAAATGTTTTCTACATCTTTATGTAAAATACGTGTGTATTCGCATTTTCCCTCCACCTGTCATGCTGGGGTATATATTTCATCATCTCGGGAATCTATACATTGTGGTCTGTTTTTAGCTATTCTGTTTGGTGAATGTTCTTGACATTTTTTAGGATTGGGTTTTGTTGTTCTGAGAAGTTAAATAGCCAGATGAGATAGGTCAGACTTTCAGGGGAAAATTCAGTAGTATATTTGATAGCCCACTGAGTTAGACTTGGTTTTCTTAGCTAAGAGGTACAGTATAGTGAGAGTCTCTTTGGTGACATACATAATCAAATACATCAAAAAGTGCGCTATAGGTTTCTAAAGTTTGGTCTGGCCATTTGCCTGCCCAGTAGGTCAACCAGATTGTCCCAAAATTGGTTTCTTAAGTGAGCGGCGTGACGGACGGTATAAAATATTGTCCCCAATACTTGTAAACCACTGAAACTTTTTATTTAAAAAGAAGCCAACACTATAATCCAACTAACCCCACCCTCACCCACCCCCATTTGCAGCAAAAACAATAGAGGAGAAACTCTAATTTATCTTTTTGTGCAGGCACGTTCTGGCATTCAGACCAATGACAATTTCTGGTGTTTCTAGTTTTTTGGGTTGCTTAGTCATCCCTGCCTTTTACAGATTTCCCCTTTGAAGCTGCACTTGGTGTGTTTGGAAGCCAGTACTGTTTTATGGGTAGATGTGTTCAAACGCACTCCTTACTAAGAACGCTACCAGGCTCTTGGTTTCATCACCAACTTGCTTACTTCAAGAATTATCCCAACAGCATTTTATTGATGGCAGAAGGGATGCTTTATAGCGTCAAGCCTGGGCCCTGTTTGGCAACTCGAAGACTAAGTGGAAGTCACTACTTGGCTTATCCTGTCAGTAGGTGGTAGGTATATCAAGATCCTTCTGGAGCCCCCCATTTCCTTCCCTTAGGTCCATAAACAAATAGGACATTTTAATTTAAATTTTAAAGTTGTGTGTTTTGCACACCGAGCTAAAATTAAGAGACTTGTTTGTAGTGTGGGTCCTGACTGGCGGTGTAAGCTTGGAGAAGGTGCCCCTTCCCTGCCTGAGTTTCTCGTCTGTAAATGAAGGATTTTGATGGCTAACTCAGAATTGCACTCTAGCTTTAGAAATGTTTTGATTTCATCAGTGGAGTAAATGTGGATGAATCCTCCTAAGAACATATTCACTTGAATAATATGTGTATACCTATCAGTCTTACAATGAATTTATTCTTTTGAGGGGGGATTTTACTATGAGGACTCGGGTTCCTTCAGTGTCTGTGTGCTGACACGGTTTCATGTCAGCTGAAAGCCATACCCAGTTACCACTCACGTACAGCCCATAAACACTACCGATGTGTTTTAATGGTCTGCTGTTTGAAGACCCAATCTTTTCAGCTCTTAGAAAACTCCCATTCATTGAGCTTCCCCAGTTACATCGTATATATCAGCACACAGTTATTCACTGAGTCTTTCCACGTGTAATAAACATACTAGCTCTTATGTCAGTACTCAGCTTTTCTGTAATATTGATACTTTTGGTGATGTTAAGCTTATATTCCATATGCAAGAATAATGATTTCTAAAAACTAATGAAAATGTCCAGGTCAACAGTTGGGCTGAGGAAGTTGGTGGGGCTTACACCATTAGGCTGAATTGAGCTTTGATGTTGTAGCCAGAGTTTTCTCTCCAGCAGTGTTGGGTTGACCATAGGCAGTGTTTTATTTGGGACCCAGCCATGAGCAGCAAGTGCACGGGACAACAAATCATTAGATTCCCAAGTCTGTGTGGAAGTTTATTGAACTACAAGGAGAGAAGGTGACTAGAATTAAACTTAGATAAGCAAGTCCCATGGATTTCCAAAAAGATGCGCTGCTTCAAGCCGCAGTAGATTTAAACAGCCTGTTTAGAGAAAATCATCCTGTCTTGTCCTGATTCCCTTTAAGCTCTCCATTTCAGCAGCTGAAATAACTAGCACCAAGGGGTGATTTCCTTTCAATTCTAGCAAGCTGTAGGTGCAGCCTGTGTTTACTTTTACTAGGAAACAAAAGTGATGCCACCATTATACAGTGAATACCTGAAAGTCAGATTTCTTATACTTCCGACAGTGTTGCTGTCATTCATGTTATATGTAGGCACATTTTATTTCAGTTCTAAGAAAACAGTATATTTGTTAGAAAAAGTCATTTTAATGACATTGAATTGTATACCTGAAAGGGGGGTTTTGTTAACTTTGTCCAGGAAATACATCAATATGATTTTCTGGTTTAAAAACATTGAAATCAGTCAATTCTTTCATTCATTTATTCTGCAAGTATTTTCTAAGGATCTGTGCTGCTGTGAGGCTCTGTTCTTGGAGTTTGGGAAACCAGAGAAGAATAGAGGGTGTGGTCTCTGTCCTCAAGGAATTCACAGACCAGGTGAGGAAGGAGATGAGATAGGGAAGGTCAAACCAGCTGTAATAAAGTACATACAGCCTGAGGACACAGGCTCTGTGGACCGTGCTTAGCAGAGATAGAAATAATAAAGGAGGCAGGGCTGTACTGCAGGATGTCAGATAAGGAGGAAATGTGCCAGAAGTCATCAAATATGCATGTGGGAGCCTGAGGCAGATGGCAGGGAGAGGGGTGGGGTTAGGTTTGGAGACTGGGAGAGAGTTCCTGAGCCGTCTCGCTCAGGCTGGGGAGCAGGGAGCTGTGGAGGAGACTGGGTGGACTGACGGGGGACAGCTCCGTGGTGCCCCAGCCTCAGAGATGCCCTCAGTCCCTGCCACTTGCCTGCCACCTGGAGCCTTTTGTTCTTCAGGGAATGTGGTGCTGTCCGGCAGTGGGAGACACCTGGTATATGATTTGAGAAGAATTGTTACTTTCCTAACTTGCCTTGAGTAAAATTTCTCAAAAAAACAAATGCAGCCTTTTAGTCCTCACTAGAGTTCCTGGGCTCAGAGCTGGAGGAAAATCTAAAGAGATTTCTGGTAAAGTCCAACCACCTAATTATTTTGTAGAAAGGGAAATTTGGGCCTGGAGGTGAAGTGGCTTGCCCTGAGGTCATTTACGTCCAGTCCTTGTGAAGCTGAGCTTTAGTGGGAAGCCAGGTTCCTGACTGCTGAATGCTTTCATTCCTGCACTGATTTGTGTGCTCATCAGACAGTCCTTGGAAGCATCCTCACTGCCTAGGCTCTGATTAGACGTTAGGGGTTGGCTGTATGTGATGGCTGGGACAACAGATTCTTCTGCTTGGCACCAATCAATGCCACCTTCGTCCAGCTCTGAGATGTGCGAACCATGTAAGTGAGGAGAATGAAGGACTGGGGCAGGGGTGGGGGAATGTGTCATGGGGGCAGGGTAAGCGATCTGGACAGCAGTCGCCTGGATATGGAGAGCCAGGTCACAGGGAGCTAAAGATAATGGAAGCCAAGTTGGGAAACAGCTTCGTTCAGCTGCAACAGTCTTTTCAAAGGAGGATGGGGAGGGAACACATAGAAAATTACAGATAATTAACTTGCTCTTTGCCACTTAAAATGTATACCTATGACTCTGCCTGATTTATAGTTGTTTTAAATACACAATTACCAGGGAAGCTGTTGCACCCCCCACCCCCAGATATGTTAAGTAAAGCTTCACCACGTAAGGAAGCCCTGAAGAGCTCTGGTGGGTTACAGTCAGGAGCTTATATAGAAAGGGCTCGGTGTTAATTTCTCAGTGATTTGATGCCACAAGGAGCTAGTGAGACTGTGCCCGGACCCTTTAATCTTTAACTCTTTGGATCCTCCCTGTCACACACAAGGTAGTTATTTATTCCCATTTTATAGAAGAAGAGGCTGAAGTGAACTGACTTGAGGTCAGGCTGTGAAGGTGGAGGGACCGTAGTCAGACCCCAGAGAAGGAATGATATTCTGCTGTGGGTGTGCCCACCATTTTTCTTTCTCCATTCACTTGCTGGTGAACAGTCTGACTCCACACCTTGGCTACTGTGAATGGTGCTGCAGTGAACGTGTCTCTAATGATTTACCGATTGCCTTTGCTTTGGATTGCTGGATCACAGGGCTGTTCTATTTGTAGTTGTTTGAAGAACCTCCATGCTGTTCTCCATAATGGCCGTACTAATTTGCATTCCCACCAGCAGTACATGAGTTCTTTTTCTCCGTATCCTTGCCAACATTTTTAATTAATTTTTATTTTTTGGTAATAGCTGATCTCACTGGAGTGTATATGATATCTCGTGGTTTTGATTTGCATTTTCCTGATGATTATTGATGTTAAGAATTTTTTTCATGTATTTTTAAGTCGATTTTATGTTTTGTGAGAAATATGTATACAGATTGTATACTTTTTTTTGCAGTTTTTGGCTGGGATTGGGTTTGAACCTGCCACCTCTGGCCTATGGGGCCGGCTCTCTACTTCTTTGAGCCACAGGCACTGCCCC